AATTGCTTGGAATTGCGTTCTGAGCAATGAGTAAAAAAGCCTGTGTAGTATGAATTATCTCCCCCTACTTTGAATTACAAGGGAAAATAGATAGAGGTGATAAAATTTGCACAGAGCAATTTAGGACATCATTCATTATAACCTGTGCGGCTTATTTTGAAAAAAAAAAGCATTAAGAAGATGATGGGTTCATTTCCCATTTAAATGTTTAATATGCTCGTTTCAAGTGGCTACAGTAATAAGAGATGATCTATTTGAGAGTGCAGCCAGCTAGCCTCCTTGCTCCATTTTTGCCACATGGTAGTTGGAAACGGGGCATTTTTCGCGGCATGGCCTCCAGGGGCAGAGAGGCAGGGCCTGCTCACAAAGCCTTGTGGGCCAGCTGGAGGACCTCCACACGCTGGATTAGGACCACCAGATGTTCTACTGCTCTACCATTACCACTGTTGCCTGTTTTCTTCATTTCCCCTCATTTCTTCCCTTCCACCCTTCATTCTATTACTGTCTATTGCAACCAAGCGACTGCCCTTGGCTTGCAGCATTCTATACTCTTTCTCTGACTTTTCTCAGATAGCCTTCAGCCACATACTGTGCTTTTGTGCTTGTCTCCTATTTTCCCATGTCTGATACCCTTGTTCCCTTTACAGGTCAAATCTGAAAGTCCTGGGTGCATTTTCCCTTCTGAGGAGCTATATGGGTGATGTTCTACTATCAAAACCAAGAGCAGGGAACATGTCATCTTTCAAATGGTGAAAGAAGAGACCGCTTTAACCTTTAGAATAAATTTCAGGTTGTTCCCATTGGGCTTACTCTCCAAACATGTAGATAGACTTGGACATATAAAAATTGATGTTCTAGTAAGCAAGCCCTGTAACGTAGGGACACTTACACACCCTTCCACACCAATAATTCTCCCCTATAACAGGACTAATGCATATTTACTCAGGAGTACCATGATTAAAACTCAAGAATCTTACTTTTCAACATGCTGAGGACCAGGCTTGCTAAGAGCAGGCACAGGACCTTCCCAAACATCCCAGATGCATTTTCAGATCCTTGCTGCAATTACTATAAATCTGATGTTCAGCAATTTGAATCATATGCCTACAGTCATGATTTAATCATTTAAAAAGAAAGTTAAGTGATCTGGAAATAAATGGAATGCTCTCTCATTGCTTTCTGATTTCTTTGCCTCTTAGAAATGCTGATAGAAACATAGCAATTAGAGAGAAATGGTCTCACATGAAGTTAGTAAAATATCAATAATACAGAACAGAAAATCAGTGTACATATTTAAATTGTTAGTATTCATATACAGTTTTAAAATGAGATGAATCAAGACTTATATTTTTTTTACTAGTAATTTACTCCAGCCTACATTTGTGACTCTGCAACATTATACCTCAGGTCCATAGTCCAATACTTTCCAAAGCACTTCAGAACCCTCTTCACTTTGTCCTGTGACAAAGAGGCTCATGTTACTCTTCAGCCAGCACTAGTTCTCAGACCAGGCTCTAAATAATTCTAGTAAAAATCACACATTTCTGTTTTGTTTTCCTGCACAAATGAACAAAAATGAAGGGAGGGAACAAATAGAAATATCATTTAACACATTTTCTAATAAATTCACCTACACAGAATGTGTTAAAAGTATAGAGATTTTTTTTTTACAGAACTGCTTAATGAAATGTCCATGAATTAATTTACAAGTACAGTATGTGATTCTTTTTAACAATATAGGTTTTGAAACTTTGCAGAACAGAATTCACATGAGAAGCATAAGACTCCTAACTGGCATTCAGAATCCAACATGGAAGATAGGCCAAGAAGACGGCATCAAATTCCTGACATGCATGAAGTTATTTGTGCATTTTATTCCTCTTTAATTGAAGCCATTAGGAGAAATGTGCATCTAATCATTTGTTCTGCATAATTGTGGTAAAACATGAAATAGTAATTTGTGAACACATGTACAGTAACTTTTTTTCAGGGCAACAATAAATGTTATGAGAGAAACAGTGCATGGCAAGATGAAGGGATAACTGAAAGTTTCAGAATATGGTAGAATATAGAAAAGTACACATCAAGGAAATCCAATAATGAGCAAAGTGTCTTGAATAGAAAATTTAATTGATAATTTTAACTGACTCATCCAACATTATCATAGAACACACATAAGTGAAAACACTATACTGTATGAGGTTTTTTAATGGCAATAGACATCATTTCATAGCATTCAGATATGTATCTCTACTATATAGGGGAATATTATCATCCAATATATACAGCTTGAAAATGCTATATATCATACTATGCAAATGATGCACACAGTACAGTAGTACAGTATTTAGAAGAGACACTCCCTCTAGTTGTTATACCATGTGATTTTTCTTTTTCGTTTCTTCATGGATTTAGTGACCTTTATTTTCTGATTAGTCATTAGAAGGCAAACACAGCCTTAATTTGCAAGCCAGATTGATGAAAAATTCATCTCTGACTATTCTTGGATGGGAAAAAAAGATTAATGGTGGCGCTGTGGGCTAAATCGCAGAAGCCTGTGCTGCAGGGTCAGAAGACCAAGCAGTCGTAAGATCGAATCCACGCAACGGAGTGAGCGCCCATCGCTGGTCCCAGCTCCCGCCAACCTAGCGGTTCGAAAGCATGCAAATGCGAGTAGATAAATAGGTACCATCTCGGTGGGAAGGTAAACAGCGTTTATATATTTCTCTTACTATCTAGTTTAATCCTATTTAACTGGTTTCTACATGATGTTCCTCCCTCCTCAAACTAAAAGATTTTTTTAAAGAACAATTTTCCATCTGCAAGTTAATGACCACTATTTTGAATAAGTCCACAATTCACACTTATTTAGAGGAAAACCATTGTGGTCTCTGTGGGATTTAATTTCAGAATAGCCCTAGGATTTGGGAAGCAAACCTACATTATACCGTTTCCCTGAAAATAAGACCTAACCTGAAAATAAGCCCTAGTATGATTTTTCAGGATGCTCGTAATATAAGCCCTATCCCCCAAATAAGCCTCAGTTAAGTGAAACCCCGCACTCCACCATTGTGCAGCAAGTAGAAGATGACATGACTATAAAATAAAACACCCCTGAAAATAAACCCTGATGTGTTTTTTGGAGCAAAAATTAATATAATATCTTGTTTTCAGGAAAACACGAGTAGTTAGAATGCAATATCTGTCTCAAACAAATTGTTGTATGGTTGTTGTAGTTTTTTCGGGCTGTTCAGCCCTGTTCTGGAGGTTTTTCTTTCCTAATGTTTCGCCAGTCTCTGTGGCCAGCATCTTCAGAGGACAGGAGTCAGAGCTCGGTCTGTGCTCTGGCAAACTGTATGTCTTGAGGAGTCAGAACTCTGTCTGTGCTCTAGCGAACTGTATGTCTTACCAAAGTTTGGTGTCAGACTGAGATGAGCAGCTGTGGCCCTCAAGATCTAGAAGGGAATTTACAGGTGAGGAAAACAAAGGGCAACAACTCCCAGCCCAGCTCCCTTCCTTTTCCTTTTCTTTTTTGGAGGTGCACTACATTCTCTTCCTACTTCATGGGGCCTCACACCCCTGAGGGACTTGCTTAACAGGCTGCAGCGGTATCCCCAATTCTCCATGTGTGTCCCCCAGATAATCCAACCCACTCAATTCCAGGGGCTTTGCTCCCCAGTGTGTATGTGTGTCGTTCAAAGTGCCCATTTCCTCACTAACCGATTACTGTAATTCTGAAGGGCTGCCCTGGAATTCTCTCCAGGAATGCTGCTTTGCCATAGATATCTCCCACAAGAGCCCCGGTAATATGGGAAAAAGCAGCACCAAGTTGCCCGTTTCCGAAGGGACTGTTGCGGGAGAGCCAGAAAGGGAGCCCTTCGTGCCATGTTGGACTGGGCTCCAATCGCCGCCTGGCCATGAAAACTCGAGGGGAGAGGGGGATGAGATTTTTTAAATACATATTTTATATAGGACCCGTTGGGACAGTGCGGTCAAGTCGCTTTCTAGTGGTGGCGACCTTTGCGTCGTGTTCAAGGTCTGCCAGATGTTCAAGATTTCATATATATAAAATCTCAGGAACCAAGTCTTCGGCCACACCACAGCCGGAAGAAACACGACGGGAGGGAAGCGTTCCTTTATTTAAAAAGACGACAAGTTACTCTTTGGGACTTCATCTCCCAGAATCCCCAGCGGCACGGGCCCTAGCTCATACTGGAGGGCAGGATTCTGGGAATTCCGGAAACTCTCTCCCCGGCGGTGCCCCAGACGGCCTCGCTTCCCTCTAGGCTTCGCCCCGTCTCCTTGGTCCCCACGAAGGCGGCTGCCTTCTCCCGGGAGCCTTTCTTGGCTTCTCCCACCTGCCTTCTTCCCACAATGCCTTGCTGGCCAACCTAGAGATAGAAAAGTAGACTCGTGCCGGGTAAACGCAGCCAGGAGGGAGGAGGCCAATCTGCCGACCTCTCCTTCAGCTCGCTCTTTTTTTCCTGACTTCTCCGAAGGCCAAAGTCTTGACAGCAGCGTCCTCTGTGAAAGAACTGCGATTAAGAACGACGAATTTCTCATACGGAGAAAGTCTACCCGGTCATACAGTACTTCTATTTTTCCTCTCTAAATACAAGCCTCTCTCCGCCCCCCCTCCCGCTGACTCGTGGCAACCAAGCCCCGCCCTTGCGAACGTCACAGCTTCGGTTGGCCCCTCCCACTCGGTCCCCACCCCCCACCCCTCCCTTCCTGTCGCGTTCATGGAGCGCAGAGAGCGACGGCTGCCTTACGGGCGCGCCAGGCTTGGGGAGAGGCGGGGCCTCGGCGGAGGGGGCGGGGCCTCCGGATTTTGACCTGCCTGCGGCGGGCGCCCGGCTCCCCTTTTTCCCCTCGGCTCCCGCCTCGCGCTTTCTCCCCAGCGC